TTTCACTATGTCATACATCTTGGCCTTGCACTTGCTTCTGTAGCCTGGGCTGGCCTTGAACTGGGTTGGCAATCCTCCTGCCTCAGCCTCCCAAGTGCTGGGATGACAGGTGTGCATCACCATGCCTGGCTTCTAAAACATTATTAAATATCTTGGTAATCCTTTTCTTGTTGTTGTTGTTGTTGTTGTTGTTGCTGTTGTTGTTGTTGTTGTTGTTGTTGTTGTTGTTGTTCTTCTTCTTCTTCTTCTTCTTCTTCTTCTTCTTCTTCTTCTTCTCTTTTTAATATATGTGCTGCTGAAATGAGCACCCTTGTTTCTGTCTTTAGCAAACAAAAAGCTGGCATGGTGGCGCACGCCGGTCATCCCAGCACTCAGGAGGCTGGGGCAGGAGGATCACCACCAGTGTGAGCCTGGACTGTGTAGTTCAGGCCAGCCTGCACTGTATAGTGAGTCCTTGTCTCAAAATAAAACGAACAAACAAAAATTCCTTTATCATTTAAAGCATGATACAAGCTTTTATAGTTTTGTTTGACTTTCTGCCCTATTAAGAGAGTCGCCATCCTTACCTGTGAGCTTGGGTCAGGACTGAGGAGCTGCACTGCTTTGTTAGTGATAGCGGAAGGCTGGCGATAACCTGAACATTGAACTCTGGGGAACTAATTCAACAAGTTACCGTAAAGCCATGCCATGCAGTACTGTGTGGTCCTTAGGAGGAATGGGGTTTATGTGCACCGGTGTAGCATAAGCACTAAGACAATATAAAAATTAATTTTACCTGGGTGTGATGGCAAGCTCCTGTAATCTTGTACTCTGGGAGCCAAAATCAGGAGAATCCCAAGTTCAAGCTCCCTCTAGGCAAGTTAGCAACTTACTGAGACCCTGATTCAACATTACATTTTTATTTTATTTGTATTTTAAGGAAGGGTCTATAGGGTGTTCAGGGTCTACTAGATCAGACTCATAGTGATCCGCCCATTTACAGCCTCCCAAGAGCTGGGATTACAGGTGTGCGTCACCACGCCCAGTATCAATCCCCTGTTTCAGCACACCGCAGGGGGCAGGGCTGGCTCAGCAGGCCTAGGGATCAAACCCTGGCCCCTGCACCTGCTTGCAGGCACTTTAATCCGCTGACCATTTGGCTGGCCCTCAACATTACTTTTTTTTGAGTGGAACCGGGGATTGAACTCAGACCCTTGTGCTTGCCAGGGAAGTGTTTATCCTACTGAGCTATCTCCTTGGCCCCCAACATTACATTTTTAAAAAGGGCAGAGGATGCAGTTTAGTCTAAAAATCCCAGGTTCAATCCCTAATATTGTGGGGGTAAGTTAAAAATAATTATTTATGGGAAAGGGAGAAGGGAAGCGGATGTGAAAAGAGTTAAAATGTGTGCACATGGTGCCAGCTCCGTGTGTTGAGTGTAATCACTATGTACTGCAAACGTGTACTAATAATTTTTTTTTAAAATAGTTTATAGCCAGGCATGATGGCATTCACCTGTCATCTCTGCACTTGGGAGGCTGAAGCAGGATTACCATGAGTTCAAGGCCAGCGTGGACTACATGTAGTGCTCAAAGCCCACATGAAATGCACTGCAACACAAAACAGAAAAGACCATAGAAAGACCATAGTGTGTTCAAGGCCCGCCCAGACGACATAGCAAGATCCTTTCCCTCCAAACATAAAATTGTTGTTAGGTACAACAGTTATTTCCAAGGGAGACCCTCCAAGAGGAGTTATGACCTCTGGGGGAGACAGGTCCAAAGGTCTAGAAAGAAACTTGCTTTTTCATTGTGTTATCTTTGACACTGTTCTGTTTTTAAACTTTTTTGATGTTGTTTTTTTTTTTTTTTTTCCTGGAACCAGGGATTGAACTCAGGCCCTTGCGCTTGCCAGGGAAGTGCTTATTCCATTGAGCCATCTCCCTGGCCCCTTGATGTTTTCTTAAGTCAGGGTCTTGCCACTACGTAGCCTGTGCTGGCCTCGAACTCACTCTGTTGCCCAGGCTGGCTCATCGCTCATGCTGGTCCTTCTGCCTGAGCCTCCTGAATGCTGGGGTTTGTTTTAAAGTTTATGAGTAAAAATTTAAAAAAAGAACAAACTAGTTGATATGCACAATGATACTCACTTGGAAGGTACGAGCTTAGTGTGTGGTGTTTTTTTTTTTTTAACTACTAACTCTTTCCTTCTTTGATTTCTCAGTGGGAGTGCGTGGATTGAATTCCTGAATAATGAAGATGATCTTAAAGATATTTTGCTACAGCTAAGAGAAGGGAACCTTGTTTGCGCGCAGTATCTTTGGCTAAGAAATCGGGTAATACTTTTGGTGGTTCAGTTTTTCTTAAGGGCTTCCTAGCTCCTGAGGTAGGGTGTGACTCAGTTGGAAACTAGCAAGGTGGCGCATGTGACTGGATAATAGAACATTGTCCGATCAATAAAGATCTGTGTCTGTCCCTCTGCTGATTCTAATTCCGAGGGAGAACTAGAAAGATACCATAAAGCCTTATTTTAACTCACTGAGGCTAAATCGCTCCAAATCTTAGCCCAACAGGCAGCATTAGATTGTTACTCACTGGCAGAAGCCCAGGTTGTGGGTAAGTCTTATCCATGGTCCCAGCTACTCAGGAGACTGAGACAGGAGGATTCCATGAGTACGGTAGGTGGGGCTGATGTGGACGTCCCAGAAGCGTTGGGTTGTTTCCTTAGTGGACACACTGCTTGTAAGCATCTGTGCCAGTGTCGCGGTGTTCTCTTCCTTGGAGCACATCTCTGCTGGTTCCTGTGCTGCATAACTGGCTCGCTGTTCGGCACTCGCTCCCGGCAGAGTTCAGGGCTTGTGGCCCTCCACTTGATCTTTTGCATTGGTAATCGCTTTTAGCACTGATTAAAAGCAGGCAGATGTTCCTTGGGATGACTTTTGCTATCACGGGACTTTGCTGTTTGGGAGGCTGTCAGTCTCAATTCGTTGTTTTAATTTTTCACTCTGTAACATTCAGGCAAACTTTGAAAGCAAGTGTGATGTGAAAATGCTTGAGAACTTGCTGAACTCAATTTCTATGCCAGTCTCTTTGCAAAATCTTTGTCCCTGGCTTAAAAACGAGGTGGTCCCATTTGTGAGGAGGACTATACCTGAAGGACAGGTGAGTTTTTCCCAGTAGTCCTGCTCTTACTGATCTCACTTAATTTGTGCTACGTTAGATCATTGAAGACTAAGTGGCAGTGTGCTTGGTTGGGCAGCACATACACTAAAAAGATTAAGCTGCAGTAACACCTATTAGTTAACTTTTATAGTATCTTTTAAAAGGTGGTCATAAGGCTAGAGGTATAGCTCGGTGCTACAGCATCTGCCTCCCAGCTGGGAGACCCTGGCTTCAACCTCCGGGACTGCAAAAATAAAACGATTTGTAAGAGATTATTATGGAGGACTTTTGTTATTTCAGTGATTCTATATTGAGAATTTTAAATGATATATGTTTCAGAAAATTCTTGCAAAATGGTTGGAGCAAGCAGCCAGGAACCTTGAATTAACCGATAAGGTAATGCTAGTATAACTGACATGGAAAAGCCTTGGCACCGCCCCACAGCATAAAACTCTGTTTCTTAATGACGTGTAATGTTTTCTAAAGGCAAACTGGCCCGAAAATGGACTTCAGCTGGCAGAGGTATTTTTCACAGCAGAAAGAACAGATGAATTGGGATTGACTTCCTCTTGGCACTGGATATCTTTGGTACGATGCAGAGAATGGATTTTTAGTAATTAAATAGTCTCTTCATGTTAAAGAGTTTGTCTACATGCACGTAGAGGAGAGTGTCTGCGAATACATGTGCTTCTTAGAAGTTCTGTGTGTATGTGCCTTCATTTGTACCTTTCAAAGCCACAAAATGGAAAATTTTTTTTTCTCCATGATATTTCTATTACACCTTATAATGGTTTTTCACGACTGAGCCAATGAAAGGGAAACAATGTGAAAGTACTTCCCCGAGAGTACGTTGTGCACTAGCAGCATTTCACAACCCTAAAAGAACAAAACTTGCCAACATGTTATTAGTTTTCATTGTACAACCAGGACTTCTTCTGTTTAAATTAGTGGGCCACTGCTGTAGCTCATGGCATTTGCTAGGTATTCAGACAGCTATTAGGGCTAAAAGAGCAGTGCTTTTTGTTTATTTGTTTGTTTGGATCAAACTGAGAAACATGAGTCTCAAAAATAAGAGGGGCTGGGGAGATAGCTCAGTAGAACAAGCGCAAGGGGCTGAGTTCAATCCCTGGTTCTGCCAAAAAATAAAAATAAAACAATAAAACAAAATAAAAATAAGAAAAGTGTTGGAGATGTAGCTCAGTAGTAGAGAACTTGCCCAGTAGATGGAAAGCCCTGGGTTCAGTCCCCAGTACTTCAGAGAAAACAAATAAAAAAATCTTCGTTGGGAGTACTGTAATTTAGTTTAGATTAATATATAAGACATATTATAATCTTGCCTCTGAAGTACTACATCCTTCAGTACAAGAAAAATAAGACCTTAAAGTATGTTATTAAATCACATGTCTCATGTTT